TAGAGAGCGCGTGCGCGCGACAGGAAGTAAGTGCGCAAGACTGTCCCAGGTCTTAAAAACGCCAGAGCGCAGCGCCCTTGACGCACACTAAACCCACACTATCTCGAATACCGCTCCGGAGCGCTATTCGAGGCTTAGTGTATCCCATCATGCATCATGTTCTGGAAATAAATCGTGAGACTTTTTGCCGAGATCTCGCGAGAGGTCACGGAAACCTTTCCAATGCAAGTTAAATATTAATATAATAATTAGCTATTACATATAATATGGTAGAAAAACACTGTTTTTACGTTTTATTGGTGCAAAGATAGTAGTGTAGTGGTGATATTTATTTTGTACAACATTTGCAACTGCTTTTTATCACTTAATTAGAAGCACCACAAATTAAAATTGTCATGTTATAGGGACGACTGAACAGACATTTAGAAGTTGATTTTAAAATGCAAAGTATTTAAAATTAAAATTAAAATAAAGCTATGTAAACACTTGCATTTTTACAACACTACAAGTGTGTCCCATCAGGTAATGAAAAGTTCGACACACACTTGTGGTCTTCATGCTCACTTGAACACTTGGGCCAAATACAGGAAATACGTCATATAAATAGTCAAGTGGTCAAGTGCAAAGACTGCAAGTGTGGGTATTTGGACAAGGCTATAATCTTCCAGCAAGTCTGCTTGATCAGTTACCAAAGAAGCAAGTCAAAATTATTCAGAAAAACAAGATTTTCTTATCAAAGTGATAAAATGTTGAAAGTTACTAAATAAAACTAAATAAAAAATGTTCTGGTATAAGTTTAAGGCAATATTGATCAAAAGATAAGTATGTTGAACCAAAACAATTAAAGTAATATAGCAAAAGTAACTGTTACAACCGGCTCAAAATTGCAACATAAACAAGAGCCAACACCGACCAGCAAGTAGCAAAGAAAAGTAGTTTATTTAACAAAAGCATAATTAACAAAGGTATTCAAACAGTCAGTAGTCAGTATTAATGCAAGTCATTAATGGTTAGTGTGGTCACATCGTGCCCCCGTCCACATCAGTGCTGCAGTTTTTATAGCTCTGCATAATAAGCCTCAGGTGGAAAGACACACCCACAATAACCAGTATACCTGGGGCCCATTTCAGAAAGGAGGTTAAGTGAAAACTCTGAGTATGTTAACCCTGAAATGAGGGAAACTCTGGGTTTTCCGTTTCAAAATGGGAGGTTTGTCAAACCTCAGAAAGCATGGTAAGTCAAGCCCGTTTCTGAAAGAGAGGTAACTTATACTCAGAGTCAGTTTCCATGGTAACTTACTCTGTGAACCTAACCTGGTCGGGAGCAGGTTTTCTTTGCTAAACCCAGAGTTTCTTTTGGTCTCCACCCCCGTTTTAAAGCGTAAGCCATGTTTAAATACCTAATTTATTCACGCTGCAAAATAGCTTTTCTGACTTATTATTTTTGTCTTATTTCAAGTACAAATATCTAAAAATTCTTATGTTAAGCTGCAATTTCTATAGATGAAAAATTATATAAGGTATTTATCCTTGTTTCCTGGGGGAAACAATTGCATTTTATGTAAAACATGTAATAATGTCCGCCATAGGGCAAGAAAAATAATCTTAATGCAAACGGAAACAAGCATAGCGCAGGTATTTATTCATTGCGCATATTTTCATCAAGCAGACACGGTCAAAGTGACAAAAATGGCATCTCCTCTTATACAGGATCCCATAGATGAGGAGGCTGCATAAATTCGTTCACATGCATATTTATTTGAGCTGTAGCATTTTAAATGGTAGTTTTCTTTAAAACATTGGAGATGTAGAGCACATTAGTAAGGCCACTTTATGCAGACTGATAAGGAAAGTGTACATTGCTCTCATGCTCTTTCTGAGAATTTTTTCCTGGGATTCAAATCCGTCAAAGAGGAGTTTCACTGGACTGTAGGTCAGTGTTGTAGAAATCGTTTTAAATGGCTAATCAGGCTAATCTGATAAATCACTTGATAACATCTTGCAGCAACCTCTGTAACCCAATAATTAGAATTTTCATCTTTATTTTCTACAAATACAAAAGCAACAGTTATTCTTTTTCCTTTTGGATTTTAAATTCTTCTACTTGACCATCTCCTCTTTATCTGTCAGTGGTGCTGGTGCAGGTTCTCCCCCCATTTTGCGAGCCTCTGCCTTCTTGCTGTCGACTGAGTCAGTTGTTAATTTGATTACTCTAATTAAGAAATGTAACAGGTTTAATTACAGAATATTTAATAAGCCTATGTGAAAAGAACGTTAAACTATGTGGAAAAACCTGCTGCGCATTGAAATAGACACTGAATGATATTTAATATGTCAAATGTTTGTAAAGTGCTTTTATGCTTAAAGCTTTACCTTGATTGAATTGTTTTTATAAATAATTTTTATATGCTGCTATGTTATTTTTTTTGCTGTGGGATACCATGAAAATGAAATTTAGTTAAATCATTTACAGTTTTTACCTCTGATATTATAACTGTGATTAAGAATTAAAGTTATTTGTTGGCTCAGAAGTATGCAGGCGTCTTTTTGTCTGTGCTGTTACCATGGTGAATCATAATTTCGGAGCTCCATTGATCATGACTTCTTAAAGTCGTGGTGCACGCGCTAAACTCAGTTTAGTCAACAATGAGTAGGTTGACTCTAACACAATTTAGCTGTTCTGAAACCAAAAACTTAAGAGTTTCCCATCTCAGGGTAAGTCAACTCAGGGTTTGAGTTTCAACTCAGAGTTGGTTGAACCTCCTTATTGAAACGGACCCCTGGAAACCAAAAACAAAACAAGAAAAAACACAGGCCCAGCACTCACTGGGACATAACAGTAATACAGAAATTCAAAAACAATGGACTTGTGACAAGGCCCCTGAAATAATCAGGCCTTCATTTTAATTTAGTGATGAGTGTTCCCTATCGATACTTCACTCGTACTGCGTCTGTTTAAGACGCTTTGGGAAAAACTCATTTTTCTCCGATGACTGAAGCCTTTTAATAACGGAGTGTAACTACACGGCCATTGGTTCGTGCAGTGTATTAAAAACAAACCAATGGCTCGGCAGCGGAGCTCCGAGGCTCGCTGAGAGAGGAGTCAGGGAACTAAGCAATCTGAGCATTCGCATGCCGGCACTGTACCCGCGTGCTCGCTCTCCCCGCTGTGCTTTGATCCGCCACAGAAGGGCAGTGAGCTGCGCGCTCACTGAGACAGAATGCTCACTCAGAGCATGAATCTCGCTCTTCTCCGCTCGCGGACCGCCTTCAATGAGGCAGCCCTGCTCTCGTGTTTCTCCTCTCTCAGCGAGCCTCGGAGAAAGAAACAGCGAAGTCTAAGAGCTAAGCAACCGGGCCTGAGCGACATAGAGCCTGTGTGCTCGCTCTCCCAGCTGCGCTTCGATCCGTGTCTTACATGTGAGGATCAGCGCCTCTCATTACATCGAGCGGCTCTATCCTCCTAGGTGGATCGGAGCAGAACGCTGTCACTGACAGCTTCAAATTTGTGTGAGTGTTGCTATGGCTGCACTCACAGAGAAGGGCTGCTTTTACCACGTAAAAGCCTCCCCGCTCTCATGTTTCTCTCCTACCAATTACCTCGGAGGAAGCAACGGCGAGCTCGCGGGTTGAGCGATCAGGCTTGAGCAATTCATGCTGGCACACATCATGCGTATCATGCGTGCCAGTATGTGTTACACGTGAGGATCAGTGTCCCTCGTTACACCGAGCGGCTTAATCCTCCTAATCCTCCT